AGCAATTGGTACCTGTTATTCTTCAACCCTCAGCACTCCCCCAGCAGAAGGGTCCTCTGAGAGGCCAGGCAAGGTATTCAGCTGTCTCATTTTCTCTGTCTCCACAGCAGCTGTTCCAAAAGCCCAATTATGCCCTTTTGGGTCCTTGAAATACCCTCTCCTGAGGTAATCTATGCCAAGGATACACGGGGCCTCTGGGCTAGTCAAAATGGGGTGTTTTTGCTATTCCTTCCCAGTCAAGCTCACTTCAGCTTCCAGTACAGTCAGCTGTTGGGATCCCCCTGTCACCCCATGTGGGGGAGCCCAGCTGGTTCTGGGTTCTCTGTAAACTGAAATACTGAAGATGGAACTTCTTACACCTGGCAGAGGATTAACCACGGACAGTAGGACTGTAACACAGAGTGGGTTTCCTGTTAGAATATTAACCTGTTGTGTTAAGACATGTGGTTGTATGTCCAATCATAAGTTGTTATGATAGTGGTAAACCAATGCTGTGTGTACATGTGTCACCCACATCTGTATAAAGGTAACTGCACTGTTGCAATAAAAAAAGCTGGTATCCTAAAACCCATGTCACCTCCCGCCTCGACTGCGACAACCCCAGAAATAGAGATGGATTCTGCCCCTACATATCTTGATGGCGTAAGAGTAGACTGTGCACTGGTGCCAACTAAAGCCTTATATTCTTGTGGATCTGATGTGTGCCAACTAAAGCCTTATACTCTTGTGGTTCTGATGTGCCAGGCCATCGGATCCACACAGTCCAATAGATCCGATTGTCCCTTTCCTCCACCTGGCTGGAGGCAGGGCCTCTCTAGCTCTGGTAATAGTTCCTGTTGCTCACTTTTTTTTCAATATGAACTGGAGGTCTCTTTAAGAGGATTGGAAGTAACATCAACCCTCATATTCTGTCTGAGACCTTGCCCACTGGAAACTGGAGTGGCATTTATCCTTGAAGAATTTTCTCTCAACTTATGCACCCGTGCTGCTAGGGCAGAGGTGGATTTTCCATCCCACTTCCTCATGTCCTCTCCATGGTCATGCAGGTAAAACCACAGGTTACCTCGTGGTGTGTACCCTTTCTCTCGAGCAGGGGGGCGCTTGCTCCCAATAGCAGAGACTCTGGTCCATACTGGCAGGGCATGGGACATTTCCTCTCTAACTTGCTCAAGTCTTTTGAATCTGTCTGCAGTCTTGGACAGTCTTTCCACAGCCGAGGCACAGGTCAGTAAGGAGGAAAAGAGATGATCTTCATATTGCCTGAGTCGGGTAGTCACCTGAAGCACTGTTTTTCTCCTTCTTTCATAGACATTAATGCCAATGAGTTGGCATATGACAATGGCGTGTTCCGTACAAACTTCCGTCACATGGATTGTGTACACTGGACCTCATCTGGATCTCGTTATTTGAATTCCTGTAGATTATCCCCATCACAGCTAATTGTCTCAGGTAATGGATGCCTTTCTCCATGGCATTCTGCTTGCTTGGGTTCAGTATTAGATCATCATTGAGACAATATCTTTCTCTCACACTTGACACGAGTCATCTCCAGAGGCTGAGAGATTCTGTCCTCTTGCCAATCCCCTGTCAATGTCTGCATCCTGGGACACATATCCCAGTTTCTTGGCTTCACTACCATCTAGTTTCATATTGTGGACCGTGATATCCCATCATCAGAGCAGCCAGGTCATCAGGGGCTAACCCAACTGTTGGCTGAAATATTTTTGTATATCTTGCATATCTTGCAGCTCACCCAGGGATAGGGATTGGGTGATTATCTCTGGCCCTTCCTCTTCCTCTTCCTCCTCTTGTGAGGGCCCTACTTCCTCTTTATCCCACACTAAGCGAACTGATTTTGTCTTGGATTTCTTCTTCTGTATAGGGGTGACATCTACCGGCATGGGTTGTTCCTCTGGTTCGGCTTCAGTTTGAGTGGACACGCTTCCTATTGGTCTACTTTCCTTCTCCTTCCCCTGAGGGTGCTGTCTAGTACCGAGCAGTGTCCAATAAATAGTAGCCAGTGTCCAGCACACTGCAATAAGTTGCTCCTCCCTGGAGTTGCCACAGTATTTTCCTTGCAAATATTCTGTCACTTTATCAGGGTCCTGTAGTTGTTCAGGGATGAACTTCCAAACTATTGGAGTGGAGAATTTCCCCAAAAACTGGCCCATTTTCTCCCACATTCCATGCCACTCATGACTATCCACCCTCATGGCAGATCTCTGAAAGATCTCCCTAGAAATCTATTTCTTGACTCTAAACATGGTATGAACCACACTGAGGATACCTGGCAGACTTAGTAACAATAGCATGCTTTCCTTAACATCCAAAGGGAATTCAAAATTCTCAAAAACTGTTGTAACAGGCTTGAAGGAGGAAAAGGGGGGTGAAAGGCTGGGGAAAATCATCCTCCCCTGTTCCCCCCAGAGGCTGGATATGATTATTAATGAATTCCCAAAGGCAGCATCCAAGGCCAGGGCAGGAAATCAACACTGAATACACATCCCAAATGACCCTCATTGCCCTTGATGTTATCATATCATAAACTGATATCCCACAGTACAACAACAAAGCAATCCTGATCCCTCTCCCTGCTCTGAAAAAGATCCCCACAAGGAGCACATACAGAAATATATACAGGGTTAGGTACCACACCCACATGAACAGACCAAGCAGCATTGTGACCAGTGGCTCTGTACCTAATACAGCAAATGCTAAGATCAAATTTGTTCCCAACCCTCTTTGGGCAGATCTGTTGTTATCAGAACCCTTTGTGCCCTAAGTTGGGTGCCAATTAAGGCTGTCATGGGTTAGGAATGGTATTCTCCAATTTAGTGTTCCCACTGAAACTGCACCAAGCACTTGCTCCCCATCCCCCTGCAATTGGAAGCACAACAGGTAAAGATCATGGTTTGAGATAGCAACAATTTACTGGAAACAGCAATGAGATAAGAAAGTGAACAGTAACAGAAACAATACTAGTAAGAACAGTGTACAAAGAGAAGTTCATTGTTCTGGTTTCAGCCAGGATAGAGTTAATTTCTTCTCAGTAGCTGTTACAGTGCTGTGTTTTGGATTTGGAATGAGAATGTTGTTGATAGCACACTGATGCTTTGGCTTTTTGCTAAGTGGTGTTTATCCTGTCAAGGACATTTTTCTTGTCTCATGCTCTGCCAGCGAGGAGCTTCACAAAAGAAATTTAGAGGAAGCATAGTCTGGACAGGTGACCCAAACTGACCAAAGGGATATTCCACATTATAGAACGTCATGCCCAGTATATAAACTGGGGGGAGTTTCCCTGGAAAAGGTGTCAATATGGGTTCAGGAATGGGGTGGGTCTGGCATTGGTTGGTGGGTGGTGAGCAATTGCATTGTGCATCACTTGTTTTTCCCTTTTTATTATTATTTACCATTATTTTTATATTTTACTTTATTTTCAATTATTAAACTGTTCTTAACATACAAGTTTTACATTGATTCTTCTCCCCATTCCACCTGGGTAGAGGGAGAGAGAGGGGTTGCTTAGTGCTTAATTTCCAGCTGAGCTTAAACCACAACAAGTGATTTACATGCAAAATGCTCACCAACCCCAGGGCAATCAAAACCAGTGGCAGACAGACTCTCTGACTGCCATGCTTTCTCCCAACCAGAAAGAACCCCCTTTCTTCTCAGAACTGAGAGAGAATATCTTTTCCCTGCCCCAGGCAATGACATAAGATGGTATTGAAAAACACAAATTTTGGCCACACCTCCTTCTGCTGATGTGGGCTGAAACCAGGACATGGGGGGGAGAAGAAGACAAACACTTAAGGAAAGCACTTTCCCTCCCCCTTTCCCAGGCTCAACTTCAGTGCAGACACTTCTTGTCCCCCCTTCATAGTCTTGACTCCCCTTGTTATCGGTGCATTTTACACTCAGTTCCTTTACAGTGAGGCCACAGATGGTGCAGGAGGTTGGGGTCAGGACATAGGGGTTTCTTTCTGCCACTCCTTGTTCCATACCCTTATCTTCTACTGTTCTTTTCTTCTACTCATTTCTTCTGCTCCTGCATGGGTTCTTCCACAGGCTGCAGTCCCTTCAGGGACGTACCTGCTCCAGCTGTTGCCTAAAATTAGCGCTTAAAAGAAACCTCTAGGATTCAATTTGTGAGTTTTAGAAGGCAGGCATTCTTTTCTTATGGTGTGCTAGAATGATTCCAGCATGCCAAGTGCATTTTGGCAAACTGATTCCCAGGGCACCCGGTGTGCTGGAATTTTAGGCAACACAGTGTGGAGTTTCCCCTACTGCTCTGGCCTTGTTTCTTTTTTCCCTTGATATTTATTGCCCTTTTAAAAATTTCTTTTCATAGAGGAACCAGTAACTCCTCTGGCTAAGCTTTGGCCTGTGATGGGTACATTGTTAAGCTGTTTGAAACCAGCTGTGACCGGGCATAAGATAGCATCTGACCTCCTTCCACAGATATCACCCCTGCAGGGCCTGCCACCCTGCCCTCCAAAGCTTTGACATTTATACCCAATGCATTAATTAAAAAGAAAACCTAAAAAACAACCCAAAACAAAAAAAAAATCCTCCACACTTATTTTTAGCAATAAAAAAGTGAAAAACACTAGAATAAAATTATTAATTATGAGCATGCCAAGCAATATACTTATAAACTATATTTATTTTCTTGTTCTGCTTTATTAGAATAACTGTTTTCTTCAGAGCACAAGTGACCAGTGAAACTGTGACCTTTATTTAGATTGTCTTCATAAATGCAAATTCAACTCCTTTTTTGATAACTTTGATCACAACAGATGTATTACATGAAATTGCTTATTTCATAGATGTTTCCCACAAAAGTGCGCAGCATGCAGTGTTTGTGTTCTTTGTACTCCTATGTGGTGCTTTCCACTGTAATGTGGCTAAAATTAGCTGAACCTAATCTTCTAATCATGTCAGTTATGCTAATGATTTCTTTATGATAACATAAAGTCAATATGATGCACTTTTCTTCCAAGGCATGACCAAGGTTAAAGTAGGCAAGGAAGATTCTTCATCTGCTGAATTCATAGAAAAAAGAAGAGCAGCATTGGAAAGGTAATGTATGTATGTAACTAAAACTTGTTTAGCATCAAAATGAATTTTAATATACTACATGGGCTCTGTAACTGGGATCTGAACTATCTGTACTAAGGTGGATTCTGGAGTCAGTATGCAAGTTCACAATTTTTGTGTAGAAATGGAATAATTTCCATTAGTAATAGGAAATATAGACTTGTCAATGGGGAAAAATATAGTTACCTGTTTTCAAACAGGTCACTTGTTAAAATTGAGGTTCCAGAGATCCAGTAAGCAAAACTTTCTTCATCAACTTAAACATTGTACTTTTAAGGTATTAAATCACTTCAGTGAAACTATTTCATATAACACTGACTGTTGGGCAGGGGGAAGGATGAAAGAAAACTTTAGTCAGTTGGAATTATAGAATAGTGGAATCATAGAATGGTTTGGGTTGGAAGGGACCTTAAAGATCATCTAGTTCCAACCCTCTGCCATGGGCAGGGACATCTTCCACTAGACCAGGTTGCTCAAAGCCCCATCCAGCCTGGCCTTGAACACTTTCAGGGATGGGGCATTGTCAAGAGCAGAGTGGGAGCTTCAGTTTATTAGAGAAGCCCTCCCATTGAGTCACAGGATGCAGAAAGGACCCCCTTGTTTTCTAAACTCCTTCTCAGAGAGGAGTCTGGGTGCAGCTGAATCCAATCTTAGCCCCAGACTTTGTCAACAGTTTATGTCTAAAAGCTTATACAGGTGTAGTGGAACCTTTATACAACTTTGTCCTGCAGGATTAAGGATGGAAAACCAGATATATTTATATAAAAATAAATGGTTTATTATGATAATGAGTAGACAAAAGATCTTAATCAGAATTATTTACTATACAGTATAGGTAGCTATAACTGCTAGTATAGTATAGTGCACTATTTTTTAAGCAGTATTGAAGCAAGTATACTAAAGCAATGATATTGAAGTAATTATATTAAAGCAATTGTATTAAAGCTAGCAAAACCAATTATTAAGTTGGCAAATCTCTTTTACTCAGCCTCGAGGAGTCTCTCAAGAGAGAAATGTCCACACACACTCCAAGAAGGTGTACGTTAGAAGACCCTGCCATTAAAAAGTGGGATTGGGCTTTTATAGTAAAAAGTGAATGACTGTCAGTCATATGTCTCCAGACCAACTGTGTCAGCTGAGCAACCTTTAGATAAATTATCAGTAGTATCACTTGTTTGTTTGTTTATCAGGTACTTTGCCAGGTCTGCCATATCTTCACCTCACTATATGATGTTTAACTTTGGGATTGATGAGTCCGGCTGTTCTCAGCACTCTTCAACACCAAAAGCAGCATGGCATCCCCTTCTCCATTCACCACTGATAGCTTTGTAAATACGGTATTGTTCCATTTATTTTCCCCCTACTCCAGACAGAGCATCCTGCTACAGGCATCCACAGATTGTCTGGGCAACCTACTCCAGTGTCTCGCCCCTCTCACAGTAAAGAATTTCTTCCTAATATCTAATCTAAACCTACCCTCCTTCAATTTGAAGGCATTCCCCCTTGTCCTATTACTACATGCCCTTGTAAAAAGTCCTTCTTCAGTTTTCTTGTAGTCCCCATTAGGTACTGGAAGGCTTCTATATGGTCTTCCCAGTGTATTCTCTTCTCCAGGCTGCACAACCCCATCTCTCAATCTGTCTTTATAGAAGAGGTGTTCCAGCCCTCTAATCATCTTTGTGGCCCTCTGGACCTGCTCCATCTGGTCCATGTCATTCTTGTGTTGAGGACTCCAGACCTGGATGCAGTGCTCCAGGTTGGGTCTCACCAAGGCAGAGTAGAGGGGGAGAATCACCTCCTTTGACCTGCTGGCCATGCCTCTTATGATGCAGCCTATGATTGGCTTGCTGGGCTGCAAGTGTGCATTGCCAGGTCATGTCAAGCTTTTCATCCACCAACATCCCCCAGACCTTCTCCTCAGGACTGCTCTCAATCCATTCTCCACCCAACCTGTATTTGTGCTTGGGATTGCCCTGACCCATGTGCAGAACTTGCACTTCAACTTGTTGAACTTAATGAGGTTTGCTTAGGCCCACTCATCAAGCCTATCAAGGTCCCTCTGTATGGCAGCCCTTTGCTCCAACATGTTGACTTTACCACACAGCTTGGTATCATTGGCAACCTTGTTGACGGTGCACTGAATCCCACTGTCCATGTTGATGACAAAGACCTTAAATAGTGCCAGTTCCAATATGGACCCCTGAGGAACACCACTTGTCACTGGACTCCTCTTGGACATTGAGCCATTGACCACAATTCTTTCAGTGTGTCCATCCAGTCAATTACTGATCCACTAAGTGGTCCATCCATCAAATCAATGTCTATCCATGAAATCCATGTCTCCAGTTTAGAGACAAGGATGTCGTGTGGGGCAGTGTCAAATGTTTCATACAAGTCCAGGTAGATGATGACAGTCGCTCTTCCCTCATCCACCATCGCTGTAATCCTGTCGTAGAAAACCACCAAATTTTTCAGTCATGATTTGCCCTTAGTGAAGCCATGGTGGCTGTCACCAAGCACTTCCTTCTTTTCCATGTGCCTTACCATCATTTCCAGAAGGATCTGCTCCATGAATTTACCACACACTGACTGTCCTGTAGTTCTCCAGGTCTTTCTTTTTTCCCCTTTTTAAAAATCAGGGTTATGTTTCCCCTTTTCCAGTCAGCGGTAATTTCACCCAACTGCCACCACTTCTCAGATATGATGGATAGTGGTTTAGCCACTTCCTCTGCCAGTTCCCTCAGGACCTGCAGATGCATCTCTTCAGGTCCCATTGACTTGTGCACCTTCAGGTTCCTTAGATGGTCTCAAACTGAATCCTCTTCTACGATGGGCAGTTCTTCATTCTCCCAGTCTCTACTTTTCCCTTCTGCAACTCAGGTGGTGTGGCTAGAACACTTGCCTGTGAAGACAGGCAAAAAAGTCATTCAGTACCTCAGCTTTCTCCATGTTCATGGTAACCAAGACTCCCATTTCCTTCTGGAGAGGTGTCTCAGTTTAACGAGACAGAAATGTTTCGTTAGGAGTGTGGGATATGGGAAAAAACCAAGCTCTCCCTCTGAGGAATTATAACTTCAAAATCAAGAGTTTCCAGTCAAAAGACGTGGAAAAGAAAAAAATAACAGCTCTTTACTAAAGAATATATATATGTATATAGGTAACACAACAAAAAACCCAAGCAACAATCCTGTAAGACAACTTCTACAGAAAACAATTAAGTCCTTTTTGCCTTTTGGCTCAGTTATAACCACACCCAGCAGGGGCACTGTTGGGCCTCCGGAGGAGTGTAGGCTGAAGTTGCTCTCAGATGGTGGTCGGCAGATGGCGCTGTTGGGCTCCAGTGGCCACCTCATCCGCTGGGGGGAGGAGGGGTGAGCATTCGAGTGGGAGAGCGGCTGGGTGAGTCCAAAGCACCCACACGGAGGGGAGTGGGCAGCTGGGTTGGTCCAAGGCACATCCCAGGAGGCGCGGGAGGCACCCCCATGGAGGGGGCGTGGGCTGCTATTGGCACGGGAAAGGAAAATGGGGGGAAGGGTGGTTTAATCCTGTGGACTCATGCCGTCGAAGGCGGGCTCTGGCCAGAACCCTCTTTTTTGCTGATGGGAGTAGGCTGCTGCCAGCACGGGGAAAGAGGAGGGGGAAGGCCAAGTGCCAGCAGGGACTCTCCTCCTGACCTCCTCCGCCAGACGAGTAATCCCAAGAAGCCCAACCGAACCCCTTCAGCCCCACCTTGCGTGTCTCCCAAAAAAACCAAAACAACCCCCAAAAACCAAGCACCTCACAGCCAAAAGCTGCCAGTCCCCCCTTCCCTCTCTCTCTGCAGCTACCACTTGTGCCAAAACCACACAGCAAAAATCTACCTTCCCCCCTTGCCTCGGGGAGATGAAAACAAAGGTGTTCTGCTTCTTGCAGAGAGAAGTAATTAGCATTTCAGTGGGACAGTCATTAGGGTCTAAGCCAGGCAAACACTAAAATCTGAAAATCACCCCACCCCAGCCAGGAGGTTAGTGTGCAAAAATTCACCAGAACCTAATGAAAAAGAAACTATAACAAGAGGGCCCACATTTTCCCTATTCCTTCTATCACCAGTGTACTTCATGTCCCTGGATAGATTTAATTTTATCGGGGTTTTAGCTTTCCTAACCTGATCCGTGGCTGCTTGGACAATCCCTCTGAATTTCTCCCAGGCTATCTGTCCTTGTTTCTACCCTCTCTAGTCTATGTTTTCATGTTTGAGTTTGTCCAGGAGATACTTGTTTATCCATGCAGGCCTCCTGGCACTTTTACCTGACTTCCTGAGCTTGGAGGAGGTGATCCTTGAACATTAACCAGTTTTCTTGGGGTCCTCTTCCCTCCAGGGATTTATCCCAAGGTACTCTATCAAGCAGATCCCTGAAGAGGCCAAAGTTTGCTCTCCTGTAAAACAGCTTTCTCATGACTTATAGTGCATTAGTGTGACTAGCTGTGTTTTGGTGTAAGAGATAACAGATATCTGTCACCCACCACTGGCATACAACTTATATTGTTCACATACCTTTGCTGTGGAAAGGTGTTACAAGACTATATTAGATCACTCAGTTCTAATCAGTAAATGTAGGTATGTAAGATATTTAATGAATACAGATGAAATAGTAGTCAATACTCTATGATCTACTACGCTTAAAGTTAGTATGGGATACAAAGATAATGCATAATCTTACTATACATGTCTAAATGTTACATGCATGCAAAAAAAGTCACTTAGCAACTCATCGATGCCTGGTGTCAGGTAAGGGATCTCTCAAAGGGTAACCTTGAGAGGCGTCCCTACTCAAGGGGAGATCACTGCCACACAACCAACTGCTATGGAGGGAGAGCTCAACAGACCCTGCTGGCTGCATATATTGATAGCATCAAGTGGTTGACTCATAGTCAGATTTTTCTACTGTGTTTTTGCAGTGTCAGGCACTTATCAGCCCAGTCTGCAACCAAACCGATTTTGT